CTTTACAGGCTAGTGATGATCTGGCTCGTGGATTTGCATCTTTCTCGTTAAGGAACCCCGTGGGAATGCACGCTCGGTTTCGGCCAGGGTGGTTTGCTTTGTGCATTTCTGTTAAGGTTTGTGGTTCAGGGAATGGGCTGCTCCAGGGTTCTCTCCTGTCAACAGGTATCGCCAGTTGACTGCACCAATGGCCCCCAGGCTGTCACGGACGAGGCTGGGCCTGCAATACTGTAGCCCAAAGTACACACTGCCCCTGCCGCCCATGGGGTGAGAGTGGGGGTATTGTGGGGTGCCTTACAAGTGTAAGAAAGCCCCACACCAGTTTTCAGAGGTCAGGGAGGGCTTCCCAGAGACAGAGACATCAAGCTGAGATGTGGAGGAGAGGGTCCCAGGCAGAGGATGAGATGCTGGGGCTCCCGGGGATCCTAGAAAGCAGGAAGTGCAGAAGGTGTGGGGGTCTACTCCAGAGGATACCAGTGAGGATTGGTGAGGTCAGCAGAGGACATCAGGGCTCTCGGGGAAGCCACACTGGTCTGAGGTCTGCACAGGTAGGAGGGTAACCTTTTGTGGGTAAAGACATGACAAGTTGTATATTTCAGGTTTTCCTTGCAGTCATATCTGTAGTGGTCTGAATGGGTCCCCCAAAACTCGTGGCTACTGTGATGAAACAAAGCAGAGAGCCTCCTGGAGGTCACCAAGCGGAGAGGGGAGGGGTCTAGCACCTCACAAATGGTCTCGGGTGGTCTGTTCTTTCCAAGTCTTTCTCCACAAGGAAACCACCCTGATCCTCTCTGGAGACCAGCAGCAAGGCGCCATTTTGGAAGCAAGGAGCAGCCGCTGACAGACACCAATGCCAGGGCCTTGGCCTTGGGCTTTAGTCTCCAGGACTGTGAGAATTAAACTTTTGTTCTCCCAGTCTCATGCGTTTTGTTATAGTGACAGAAACCGGCTAAGAATTCTTTTTGTTTTGAGACAGGATCTCTCTAAGTTGCTGAGCCTAGCCTGGAATTTGTGGGCCTCTGCCTCAGCCTCCAGAGTCGCTGGGATTACAGGCAGGCGCTGCCAGGCCTGCTTTGCCGCAGAGCTTTTTGACGTACTTGCTTCAGGCCCCAGCGTACTTCCAGGTTCTGTGGGGGAGGTGAGCACAACGTGGTGTGCTTTTTGCATTTATAAATTGGTGCTTTATATGATGTCAAGGAGACAAGACTAAATCTTAGACAACAATTAGGCTAAGCCAGGAGAGCACCCCGAGGTTCAACCCCAGCACCAGAAACAAACCAACAAAACTACAGGCTTCTAAGGTTGCTGGGCTGGCGGAGTCCCCCTGAGCCGCCTGCTATGCTGTTCTGACGTCAGTGTGCCCAGTGGGAGCAAAGGCACGTGAGGGCAGGGTGGTGGTGAGCAGGGCTGTGCTGGGGTCATGGTGCTGCCTCGGGCCTCCTGAGGAAGCGCTAGGAGGCTCAGCCTGAAGGGAGGCGGGAGAGACCCATGCAGTGCAGGGAGCCAGCCAGCAGAGCCTGTGCGCTGTGCTCAGTAATTACTGGCCTCCATACATTCCTGACAGAGGAGCGGCCAAGCGGCGTCTGGGACTGAAGTCTGGCCACACTTCTGCAGGGGAAAGACGCTGGAGCAGGTGGGGCTGGGCTGGCGTGAGGAAGCAGAGAGAGCTGGAGGCTGGTACCCACCAGGAGAGGACACGGCTGGCGACCTGAGCCTGGGGACAGAGCAGAGCGGGCTTTCCAGAGGTGGGGCCTAGTCATCTCTGCAGACTGCACCAGGGAGGCTGGCTGAACACAGCTTCGGGGCAAAGGGTAAAGAGTCTCGCCCTGGTTGGTGCTGATGCTTCAAGAGCCTCATCTTGTCATCAAGGGGTAATGACACTGTTCTGCAGTGTGAGAACCATTGATTAATATCTTGCCAAGCACGCCGAGGGCAGGGACCAGAGAGCATCTGGAAAAATCTGTGAGTCTCAAGTATGACCCACTTTAATTCAAAAGCAGCCGGCTGCAGCCAGGGACTTAGGTGTCGTGTTTTTAAAAGAACTGGGCCAGTCACGTTAGTCCTGCGTGGCCAAGTTGGTGCTTCTAAACCAAAATAAGCACCAGTTTAAAAACTGTCACACAACCCCCCTGGTACTTATTGATTTATTTTTTGTCCTCTCTATTGAAGATGAGAGCTGTTTAGAGAAGTTCCCTGGTGATTCTGGTTGGTTAACCCGGCTTCGATGACCAGGATGTGAAGGACAGTGGGAGGAAGAGCTTCACGGGATCGAGGTTGGCACATGGGGTGGGGCTAGGCAGCACAGATCGGGCCAGGCAGAGAACCCAACCACCAGTTTAGGCAGATGCTTATCTTTCTGGGATTATTCTGCTAAAATTTTGACTGCAAGCAGATTTCTTCCTGATCCATGGCACGGAAAGTGAAACACAGGCACTTGTGGGGGTGGGTGGGAGAAGCTCCATCTGAGCGCGGTGTCACAGTTAACTTGGCTTCTCCCTGTGTGACTTAGAGTCTGGACTCCATGCAGTTTTGCCTGAGCTTTGCTCCACGGCGGCCTCCTCCTGTGCTCCCAGCGCCAGCTCCTCACCAGCTGCACCCTCGCCTAGATGCCAGCGTGCTGTCTAACTGGTAGCTTTGTCCGACCCTCGCCCCTGGGGCCAGGCCTCACAGGTCAGCAGGGCGGTGCTGGTGCAGGAGCCGGGGGTGGGTGTGTGCTCCCCAGCTGCTGACCGCGGGGCCACAGGCCACCATGCTGCCCTGGGCGTCCCAGGTGGAGAACGCAGGTCTGAGTGGACGCTGCAGCTCCTTCTCCAGGCCTGAGGCTGCTGGCAGGGGGCCCGCCCGCCTGGCTCCAACACTCCTCTCTGATACAGCAGCTCTCCCTCTTCATAAAGAATCACTCCCAGGATGGAAAAACTGCCCTCTAAGCAGGGCTTTCCTTCCACCATAAACAAAACTCTTCATTCTCTGTTGGCTCCGCTGGGGACTCAATGACCAGGAAGAGAAAGACATGGTTTAGATGCCACGCGCCTGGGGGTTCAGAGGAGTCAGCAAAGGATGAGCTGAACTGAGAGCCGCACTATGAGTTCTCCTGTGAGCCACCTCCCGTTCAGAGGCTGAACAGCTGTCTGCATGGCAACTTCAGAAGATAAAAGAGAAACAGAACACTGAAAAAATAAAACTAGCTGGGCTATAGCGTAGTGGCAGAGCACTTGCCTAGTAATGCAGGAGGCCTTGGGCTCAACCCCCAGTATTTCAAAAAGCAAAACAAAACTCACATGAGCAGATCCCAGTTTGTAGAGAAAGGACTGAATTCTGGCCTTTAAAGACCAAGTTGAAGAAGCTTCACAGTCAAGTCTGCAACAGACCCCAAGGCTCTTGTAGAGGTGCCCGAGGGGGGTGAGCTGTGGCCAGAGCACTCACTGGAGGTGGCCCCAGGGGAAGGGAGCTGCCCTGGGAGCTCACCCGAGGACCCTGCGGGAGAGAAAGGCCAGCCGGGACCTGGAGTGCTGCCTGGCACCGCACCCACCAAGGCTGGTGCCACTCACCGTGCTGGTGGTCGGTGCTGGGCATTGCCCACGCCTTCTCACAGATCCCCACCACGGCTCTGAGCCGTGTGTTAATCTGATAAGCCGAGGGGGCTGGAGCTGCAGATCCTGTGTGGAGTATCGTGTGCGGTCCTGCAGGAGCAGGCGTGAGGACGGTGGTCCACCAAAGCACTCACCCACACGGCAGGGCTCTGGCCCACGGCTCAGTGCTGGCCGGAGTGGGATGCACCGTTGCCGAGGACTCCTTGCTCGTCCCTCGGGTGGCAAGTCATCGGCTGTAGGCAGAACACTGAGGGTTCCCAGGGCAGAGACGCCCCTCTGGGTGATGGGACAGTGGTGGATGCAGGCCTTCGGGCATGTGACCAAATGCACGGGATGCCCTGAATGAGAATGAGCCTCGCAGAGGCCCTGGGCACTGGGAGCTGGTGACAGGATCCCATGGGGTCCCCCGTGTGAGCAGAGCAGCACCCTGGTGGAGCCGGGGATGTGGGGAGCGTTGGGGGGCAGGGCACACTCGGGAAATCTCTCACCTGCATGGTTGGGCCGTGAGCCTAGGACTGCTCTAAAAACAGCCAGTTGGAGAAGAAGGGTGAAGTGCAGACGCAGGCTGCAGCGGGAGTGAACCTCCAACCTCTATGCCTGGGGACGCGCGAGAGGCTGCTGGCATGCGGGCTCTGGAAGGGCAAGTCCTCAGCGGCAGGCGTTAGAGCATGGCTGGCTGGCAGGGAGGGCACAGGGACTGCTAGGGAGTGTGGCGCTTCCCCTGGGGTCCTGAAAGTGTCAGCGTGGTGACATCTGCTCCACCTTGCAGATGTGCTGAATACCACCAAGTCGACTGTGAAGGGCCGGTCAGAGCGTGCCCATTACCCCAAGGTAAAGAGGGTCACAGGGACAGCCCTGGGTGGCAGCAACTTACCTCCATTCAATGCACTCAGGCTGCACGGAGCGAGGTGGTGCAGGCACACCCTGCCACGTGCTCACGCTCCAGGAGGAGTTGAGGGAGAAATCCTGAGCGAGTTCCTTAGAGGTTGTGAGGGTGATAACAGGAGCAGCGATGGTGGGAAATAGAAATTCTAAGGTGAGCCCACCCATTAGGTCCCACCAAGATCCCGGGCCATCACAGCGCTGCAGATGAATGGGTTCCTGCTGTACTGACTTCCAAGAAACTTCTAGTTTTATTGCTATGTGTTGTCTTTCTTTTGTGAATAGAAGCTGCAAAACTTAAATAGAATATTGTGAGCCAACCCCACTCTGGACACTTGTGTTCACGCTGCCTTTAAGTTCCAGACACATACACCTCTGAATCTTCAGGGTGGGTGGGTGGGGCAAAGAAGAAAGAATACAAATAAGATCTCCAGCCCAGGGACATCTTCTGGCACCACAGGCTGGTCTAGAATGGGGTTTCATATAATGTAAGAGTTAAAAAAAAAAAAAGTATGGCTGAAATTCAAAACAACCCGAGCCATGTGTGGTGGCGAACACCCCTAATCCCATCAATACAGGAGGCAAAGGCAGGAGGATCCCAAGTTCCAGGTCAGCCTGGGCAACTTAGCAAGACCCTGTCTCATAAGATGAAAAAGAGTTGGTATGTCCGTCAGTCTAGAGTGCCCTTGGGTTCAGTCCCCAGTACCCAAACAAACAGACCGATAAAAAAAGAAACTCAAAACCAAAAACCAATTTGAATATTTCAGCAAACTATATGTTAGTTATTACTGATACAGACCTAAATACTGGGAAATTATGCCAACTTTAATAATGTTAAAAATTTTAAATGCTAAATTATGTACATATTTAAGTACAAGGAATATCATGTTCTGCTAAAGACTCATGGTTTGCATAAAGAAAATTTGTGATAGTCAATGAGGAAAAAAGAAAAAATTAAGAGTATCATAATTCAATTTCACATACTAAGCATTTAAAATAATAAAAACTGAAGAAAAATTTCATCGAAGTTGTTGATAAAGTGATGAAGGAATTTGGGAAGAATTGCCAACTCTTTAGCACTGCCTGCTCGCAGCAGCAGGAGCCGGCTTGTCAGGGGAGCAGTCAGCAGACCTTCCCAGCACAGGGCTGGCGCAGGAGCAGCACAGCCATGCAGCCCTGACGCTGCTCCCTGAAGTCAGGTGTCTGCTGAGGTGCCCCCAGTCCAAGGCGGTAAAATTTCCTCATTATCTGTCAAGCGGCATCTCTTTCATATAAGACGATTGCAATTTATTTGAAATGCAAAATTCACGACTTCTAAGTGAGTGTTAATGGTTTTGCTGGCTTTGCGATGTGGACATCGATCATTATCTTCGGTGGTGGAGAAAACTGGTCCTAATGAGAATTCCTCCCGTGAAGCACCTTGGAGTGCCCAGTGTCTGCACAGCCCATGGACAGTGCGTCATTTCTGTCATCTACAAAACCTTTCAATGTTTTAAGGTAGATGGTCTAAAATGACTGCATTTGACGATTCTGTCCGATGAATGATGATGCATGTAAATCCATCACCTTGTATCTTTTCCCAATCAGCTCTCTATGTGTATAATGTTCAGTAAACAGCAGAGAGAGTTAGATACCGTGTTGAAGAGCTGGAACCCAAACAGAGAAACCTGAAGCATATGCGGATCCTGAGGCTCCCCTTAGAGCCGGAGCTGTGGAGCATTTTGGCACACGCAGAGACCCGTCGTCCCTGGAGAGCAAAGGCCTGGCTTTAGCCAGCTCTGCCTTCCACAGAGGGAGAGGCTGGCCTCGGCAGGAGGAGGAAGGCATGCTTCAGTTTCAGAGCGAGGGGAGAGCACTCTGCCCCTGTGTCCTTCCTATAGGTGAGCTCTGCCCTGGCTCTCCTGCTTCTTCTTTGTCCGTGGCCCCTGTCACCTTTAAATCGTGGATCGCTTTTGTCTTGAACATTAATTATTTATCTTCTTCCCCGAACACTGCAGGGAGGCAGAGTCCTGGTGTGACCAGAAGGCTGGCGCTTGACCTCTGAGCCCTGGGTGAGCTAAGAGACATGGGGCAGCGGCTGAACTACGAGGGAAAGCAGAAGGTGGCCTTCAGGGAAGGACCGAGACGTGGGATCTGAAACAAGGACGTGAGGCCGCCACTCGAAGAGGAAAGACTGACATGAAATGCCCTTCTGCTCCGGGTTTTAAAAAGGCAACTACAAAAGCATAGCCCAGTGCTGAGGCTGCCAGCGCTCCGAGCTCCGAAACTCAGTCCCAGGGCGTTTGGGGAGCCCAGAGGGTAAAGGAGATTCAGCCAGCGGGTGAACTTTGACAGCACCGTCACTGGTCTCTGTGACCTGGCGTGGTACGGGGACCCTGGGTCTGTGGGACGTCAGGTGATAAGGCCAGATGCTGTCCTGCAGTGATGTCAGCACACGGGAGCTCGGGGGCAGGGCCAGGGCCTTCCCAGGGGCTCTCTGCCAGGCCAAGGCTCCCAAGGACCAACCACGTTATTAAGAGGGGCGGGAAGAGCGCGGAGGGCATTCAGGAGCCCCTCAGGGGAGAGTCAGGCCCAAGTCTAGGTTTGTTGATGGTTTGGACATTGTCAGAATGAGTGGAAGAGCAATGTGTGCTAGAACTCACATGTATTCCTACGTGGTTGTCTGTTAATGGTGTTTATGTAATGTTACGGGGTTTGGAGAGCAAAGGGGAAGGTTTGTAATTTTAGGTACACGTTGATTGGGTTACTGGACACTTAACCATTTGTGGGTCCAGGCCATCTGCTTTGCAAAGGGAGGTCTTCTTCTCCTCCCAGGTGTTCTTGGCCTTCTGCACGAGCATCTTCACGGGAGACGTGCCTGATCCACCTGCTGCCCACCGTGGAGCTGGCCCCTGAGGAGGAAGAAGGCAGCCGGCCTGAGGCGCTCACGGTCTGAGATGCAGGTGACTGAGCTCAGTGGTGGTCAGCAGTTTGGGAATCAGAGACCAGAGCAAAGGCTGACCCCGAGAGGGGCCATGTGGACTCGGATGTGGAATGCGCACAATGGCTCGGAGTCGGAGGCTGTGGAGCTCGGCTGGCGATGATACTGAGGGGTGTAGACACCTTAGGAGTGGAGGTGGGCCTCGCTGGGGAAGTGGGTCACAGGGGCAGGCCCTAAAACGGGTAGTTTGTCCTGGGCCTTTCTCTCTCTGGCTGTTGGCTCCCTGCCGCCATGAGGCAAAGAGATGCTCCACCACACCGTCTCCCCCGACGCTCACCACAGGCCGGGAATCCATGGAGCCAGGAGACCGTGACTGCGACTCCGAAGCCCTAAGCCAGAATGAGTCTTCTGTCCTGAGTTGACTTTCTCTGGCGTTTTGTCACAGTGATGAGAGCCGGCTGACCCCCCTCCACCTCAGACTGGAATTCCCTGAGCAGTGGCACCCAGAAGGGAGCAGACAGAATCGGTCACAGGGTGGTGAGAGCAGCTTTTCCAAAGTGACGTGTGCCACAAGGCTGGGGCAGCAGAAGACCACCCGCGCGGGGGTAGTGGGAAACCCGCGCAGGGGTAGTGGGAAACCTGCGTGGGGGTAGTGGGAAGCCGGCCCAGGCGTGGGTTTGTCTTGTGTTGGGGCTGACCTGGAGGCACACCGGCGAGGCCCCCTGCACGCCTTGCCTGTCCTGCCCTGGAGGATGGAAGGGGAGCCAGGAGCGGCTCTGGTCGCCAGATGCTGTCCCTAGGGTCCACCTCTTCCCTTGGTTCCTGTGTGTTGGCAGGGTCACTGTTGGAGTCCTGCTGGTAAGTTCTGGGTGCAGGAGGCTGGGCTGCTCTGACTGTGCACCTCCATGACCTCTCGGGCTGGCTCTGAGGCTGCATCTGTGACTGAGCCCGCTCTCTGTCCCCAGGAGCTCCACATCACTCATGGTGAAGCGTGACATGAAACCCCCAGGTATGTGGGGATCTCTCTCTGGTATGGTTATCAGAAGAAGAAGAATCTGGATTGTTTGGAAATCTCAAGCAGATGAGGAATGCCGTTGTGCAGGAGTGCCAGGCCAGACCGCCCTCCATCACCCCGTGTGCTTGCTAAAAGTGAACCTAATTTGCATTTTCCTGGTCTGCATTCGGTCATTCACTCTGTTTATTCAGGTAAAACTTGGTCCCTGCACAGAACTAGAAGGCTTGACACTGCTCTCTGATTGTCATAGAGGGGAGTGAGCATTGAGAGATGTTACCTCCTGAAAATAAGAAGGCCTCAGAGTGACCACAGCAGGACTTCCCTGGGTTGTTTAGATACATTGTTGCACTAAGTTGTAAAGTCATAACTCAACCTGAGGAAGAAAAGGAAGGAAGTAGGTGCGTTTTAGGATCATTCTAAAAGAACCAGCCAGGGTTCTGCCTGGCCTTTTCTGCGTCAGTAAGGCCAGCCCTGCTGCCTCGAATGGGCCAGCGATCGGTGCCTAGGTCCATGGGTGGTCTGTTTTGGGGAAGCCATCCAATCAAATCAGGTCTTTCTGGGGAAGACAGATGCCAAGTCCACTGGAGACAGAGACCTGACCCCTCTTGGGCTGCTGGAGTGGTGCTCTCCCTTCCGTCCATCCTTGCCTTGGGGACCCAGAGGTAGAAAAGGGTGCGCCCCAATCTGCAGGTCCCGCCTGCAGATGACTGCGATGAGCGTGCCCGGAGTGCAGTCTGTGACTGTCCTGTCCTTGCCACCTGAAGTCCCAACATGTGTGAAGCCATCAAGATGTAGGTGGAAACGTGTTGGCTCACCAGCCAGGGGCAGGACAGGGGCAAAGGAAGTGTCACACCTAGGGTCTCACCGCACGTGGAGAGGTGCTCCGACTCCTGGCTTGCAGAGGACCCAAGAGCTGAGCCACGAGCACAGGTGTGTTCAGCCTGCAGAGCTGGAGCCTGAGAACTGGAAGCCCTTGTCCCTGCCTGTCCCCTTCCACAGGGTGCGGGCAAGCACATGCCAGAGGAAAAAGCCAGTCTGAAGTGCACCCTTGCTGCCTAGAAGGAGCGGGGTCCCAGTGGGGTGGTGCAAATAGCTGAGGTACAAACAACGAGGATCCACAGTCTGGGCTGATCCTCTGCTGGACATGGGACCCTAGTCACCAAACGATTAAGCTAAACCTGCAGAAGGCAGGCTCGGGTCAGCCAGCCGCAGCCCAGACTGCTTGGGCACACCTCCGGTGGCTCGCCTGGGGGAGGAAGAGCCTCCGGTGGTTGGCGTCTTCCCCTGGTGCTGGCGGTGAAGTGCTGGGGAGTCAAGAGTCTGATGGGAATGATGACCAGAGGTTCTGGGTGTGGGGCTGCTCCTGAGGGTTGTCTGTGCCCTGCTTCTGGCTGGCTCAAGGTTGTGCTCAGGAGCTGCAGTTCACAGAACCCAGATGCACAGCCCCCAGCCCCACGGCACTCTGCCTTGGATGAGAGCAAAGCCCAGAAGATGCACACGACGCTCTCCTGGACGTTCAGGGCTGACATCCCGCTGAGGCTCAGCCCCAAGCACACAGTGGAACCTGCGCTAGCCTCCCAGGTCAGAGGGAGGCCAGGGAAGGAGCCTGGACCCAGCTCACAGCCCTGGAATTTACATTTATCTCTGGAATTTATATGTAACTCCTGGAATCTGTATCTACCCCTGGGGAGCCCAGACTCCTTTTTGGAGAGCTGATGAGAAGACTGACAGGAAACTGAGTTCGGTTCAGCTCGGCTTCCATGCACAGATGCCTCTTCGTCACCGAGGCCAAGGTATGTCTCTGGGTTTTGGCTTTGGCCCTGAGTGCTGAGCAGCACTTTAAAGCTGGGGTGGGGGGAAGAGCCCAGACACGTGATCTCCAAGGGACTGATTTCATGGTTAATTACAATATCTGGGCCGGCAAATTCCTTTGAAGATGACTGCTCCTGAGGTAACGGACGCAGGGGTGGGACCCAGGCCAGCAGTCCTGCCAGAATTCAAAGCCCGCCGGATTGGAAGTCTGTTTCCTGGTGACACACGCCCCTCCACTCTGCACAAAGCCAATGGACACGCAGCATCTAGTGGCCACTGGGCAGAAAGTGGTCCTGTGTGCTCCCTTGTCCAGGCCTGGCCTCTCCGAAGGCCACCTTCCCAGGCCTGTCCACAGACTCCCACGGCACCCATCACACCCCTTCCCATCACGGGGACAGGGGCTGCTCATGGTCTGGTCAGGCAGCACGGTGTCCTCAAGCTCCCATTTAACAAACGATGAGGGTCACAGGGAATCAGACCTCTGGTAAGAGGAAGCGGAATAAGCCTCCGACTCCCCAGCTCAGGGGCCTCTGCTCAGTGGGTTCCCATACTCACTGAAGCCCCGGGACGGTTTCTTCCCCTAAGACGGAGTGGAAGACTGGCCTGAGTCCAGGAAACGCGGAGGTGGTGGGCGGTGGGCTCCTGCGCATCCTTGGAGGGTTCTCTGTGGCCCTGGCTCCTTCACTGTCCCAGGCTGATGGCTTCTGATGGCGGGAGGTCACGTTCCAGGCTTGGCATCTCACAGCTGGACCTGGCCTGAGGTCCAGGCGCTGCGGGCCCGGGGCGGAGCTAGTGACCACAGGTTCCTAGGCCCTTTCTGATGACTCTGGTTTGAGTGGAATTTGCCGGCTTCCTGTTTCTTGGTGGGGATGTGGCCCACAACCTTTCTCAGAAGTTTCTACTGCTGAGAAGTAGGGTCACCACCCCTCTGTGCCCTTTCCCAGCTGTGAGTGTAAAACCGTGTGGAGGCATAAAGATAAGGTCTGACATTGAAAAATGACTTGATTACAGTGTCGCTGCAGCTCGGAACCTGAACACCCCCCACGGCCTTCGTGTGGAGGACTTGTCCCCAGCCTGCGGTGCTCCTGGGGAGGCAGCCTGGTGCCAGGAAGTGAGGACAGGGCAAGTGTGCTGCCAGGGGATATTGGGACCCTGGTCTCTTCCTCCATCTCCTTCTGCCTCCTGACTGCTTCGAGGTGAGCCGTCTCGTCTCCTCTGCCGCATGATGCATGGTGCCACCACAGTCCCAAAAGCATCAGAGCCGACTCACCATGGTCTGAAACCATCGAAATGTTGATACAAAATAAACCTTTTCTCCTTGTATGTTGATTATCTCAGGTATTTTGTGACAGTCCTGGATTGCTGATAGCACGAGTGCCTTGAACTGTGGAACTGGTTCATGTTACCTTCTGTTCTCTGCCTCGGTTTTGGCATCTGTCAAATGAGCTAAAGTGCACTCAGCCTCAGTGGTTGCTCTGGTAGTGAAAGGAGTTCTACAACTGAAGGTTCTAGTTGAGGGCCTGGTGTGCTGTGAGTGCTGCTAGTAAGACTGGCTGCAAATACTGCAGAGTCCAACAGCCCCACCATCTTGGTCCTGCTCATAATGCATGTCCACTGGGGCCAGTTGGAGTTCTCTGGTTTGCTTTGCCCTCACTCTGGGACCAGTACTGGCAAAGCCACTGATCTGAGGGAGGCCCTGAGCACACCAAGGTTCTTGTGTCAGAGCCTGGAATCAGCACAGAGCCTGCACACATCCTCGTGACTCAGGTCTTGCACGTGGTGAAGCCCCCGGGGCAGGAATGCCAGTCTTCTAGGAACTGGAGAGAGGGAGGAAGGGTGTGTGTGGGCAGCACAGCTCACTCTCCAGTACTTAATCAGTATTGGCTGCTACTGTCCAGAGTGTTGTGACCCTGCCCTCACCTGGGAGAGCAAGGCCATCATGCCCAGTGCGGGGAGGCGTCCGTCTGTCAGTCTAAGGGAAACCAAGGCCATTCTCCATTCCTTTCGTTCTACACTTGGGCCTCCAGCTCTGGACAGGTCACGTGCAACAAGAAGTGAGGCTGACGGAGCCAAAGGAGGTCACACCTGGAGAGAGCCCGGGACGGTGTCTGCTGGGCACTTGTGGTGGTCACCACTCCACTGCGCATCTGGAGGCAGAAGCTCCCCGCGGCTGGGCTCCTGGGCCCGGCTGGGCTGTGGAGGACTTGTGCCTGCGCCATTTGGAGTGCACAGCGCGTGGACTCCAGGGAGCCCGTGGGAGGCCAGCGACGGAGCCAAAAGTTTTCATAGTTTCCAAATACTTGTTCACCTTTGACCTTGGCACACCAGGCTGACAGGAAGTGCTGCAGAGCGGGCGCCTTGGCGGGGGGTGAATGAAGCCTTTGAGAGACTCTCCGGCCGTTCTTCCCACGTTTGGCCTTGGCTCTTGTGGGGCCACCCTCAGCCCCCTGGAGGCTCACCCAGGTTTTCTCAGCTGGGCCCTGTGTGCTCAACTCGTCCGCATAGAAACACATGCCCAGTGTCCACTGCGTGCTATGTGGTGCTGGGCTGTCACCTCTGCCCTGTTCCCAAGGGGTCTGTCTCTACAGGTCATCTCTTTCCCGCAGTTGCCGGGGAGCTGGGGTTGGGTTTGGTAGGCGTGAGTGGGGAGGGTGCCCATGGATTCCCTGCCCTCTTCCCTCCTCCTTCTCAGTTCTTACCCCAACTTTTTTCCTCAACCTTAGAATTTTCCAGAAGGGAAACCTCAGCATCTCACCGAGACCTAAGTGGGCAGCATGGCTGTGGGCGGGGTGTGGCTGTCCTGGGTGGAGAAACGGGCAGCGGACGTCCCTAGGACAGGAGGACCTGTTTGGATTGGAATGAGCCTGTCTGAAGCCAGGCATGGGCACCCCAACCTGGAACACCTTCCCGACCATCGGATCTTTATTTCCTGGGCCCAATCTCCAAAAGAGGGAAGCGGAAGCCAAGTTGCCGAGGCGCCCAGAGGAGAAGCTGCTGACATGGGTCCCTGGGGGTGGGATGGGCCAGGGAAAGAGTCCTGCAGTGTGAACTGGAATTAACTACAAAGTGGCAATTCGTGGGTCAGAGCTGTGCCAAGGAAGCCCTGCAGAGTGAGTGACCGCACTGTCGTCCCCACTGGCCGGAGTGACCCCTCCACCAGATCCTTTGCTCCCTGGACCTGCAGGGGCACCAACTTGCACCGTCACCTCCTGCCCCAGAGAACATTCCGTCCCCTGGGAGCCCCACCGCAACTCAGGGCAATGGGTCAAGCCGGGCAGAGGGGGTGGCCTTTTACACGTGACACCCACACTTCCCACGTGGAGCCTGACATCCTCCAGCCCTCAGAGCCCTGCTCCTCCTTCACGTGGGACTCCTCGCTCCTGTGCAAGGCTGCACCTGTGCTGTGGGCCCGCCCCCTTGGACAGGACCTGAGCAGCTCTACCCTCCCTAACCACTGCGTTTCCCCTCCCGCGGGTCTGCGGCCCTCTCTCCTGGATCTTCCTGACTCTCAAAGAAAGTTCTATGACTTCTCCCCTGTCTGAAAACCCCCAAAGTTCCTCTTGGTCCCATTTCTGTTCCAGTGACAGCCCCATTTTTGTACTAGTCCCGGACCCTGTCCTCTCCCTCACCAGGGTTGCTCTGCTGCTGTGGGACCCTGTGCTCAGCCCCACTCCTCAGTCATCCCGCCTACACATCCTCTTTTCCTTCCTTCCTTCCTTGATGCTTAATATCAGGAGCGCAGAGCTCAGTCCTGGATCCTGTCTCTTCTCACACTCCAGGATCATGGCTCTGGGCCCCCCTCTGTAAGCTGAGCCCTGATCCCATCCAACTCATTCCTGGGTCCTGTCTCTTCTCACACTCCAGGATCATGGCTCTGGGCCTCCCTCTGTAAGCTGAGCCCTGATCCCATCCAGCTCAGTCCTGGGTCCTGTCTCTTCTCACTCCAGGATCATGGCTCTGGGCCTCCCTCTATATGCCGAGCCCTGATCCCACCCAGCTCAGTCCTGGGTCCTGTCTCTTCTCACTCCAGGATCATGGCTCTGGGCCTCCCTCTATATGCCGAGCCCTGATCCCACCCAGCTCAGTCCTAGGTCCTGTCTCTTCTCACACTCCAGGATCATGGCTCTGGGCCCTCCTCTGTATGCTGAGCCCTGATCCCACCCTGCTCAGTCCTGGGTCCTGTCTCTTCTCACACTCCAGGATCATGGCTCTGGTCCTCCCTCTGTAAGCTGAGCCCTGATCCCATCCAGCTCAGTCCTGGGTCCTGTCTCTTCTCACACTCCAGGATCATGGCTCTGGGCCTCCCTCTGTAAGCTGAGCCCTGATCCCACCCAGCTCAGTCCTGGGTCCTGTCTCTTCTCACACTCCAGGATCATGGCTCTGGGCCCCCCTCTGTAAGCTGAGCCCTGATCCCACCCTGCTCAGTCCTAGGTCCTGTCTCTTCTCATACTCCAGGATCATAGCTCTGGTCCTCCCTCTGTAAGCTGAGCCCTGATCCCACCCAGCTCAGTCCTGGGTCCTGTCTCTTCTCATACTCCAGGCTCATGGCTCTGGGCCCTCCTCTGTAAGCTGAGCCCTGATCCCATCCAGCTCAATCCTGGGTGCTGTCTCTTCTCACACTCCAGGATCATAGCTCTGGGCCCTCCTCTGTAAGCTGAACCCTGATCCCACCCTGCTCAGTCCTGGATCCTGTCTCTTCCCACACTCCAGGCTCATGGCTCTGGGCTCCCCTCTGTAAGCTGAGCCCTGATCCCACCCAGCTCAGTCCTGGGTCCTGTCTCTTCTCACACTCCAGGATCATGGCTCTGGGCCCCTCTCTGTAAGCTGAGCCCTGATCCCACCCTGCTCAGTCCTAGGTCCTGTCTCTTCTCATACTCCAGGATCATAGCTCTGGTCCTCCCTCTGTAAGATGAGCCCTGATCCCACCCAGCTCAGTCCTGGGTCCTGTCTTTTCTCATACTCCAGGCTCATGGCTCTGGGCCCTCCTCTGTAAGCTGAGCCCTGATCCCATCCAGCTCAATCCTGGGTGCTGTCTCTTCTCACACTCCAGGATCATAGCTCTGGGCCCTCCTCTGTAAGCTGAACCCTGATCCCACCCTGCTCAGTCCTGGATCCTTTCTCTTCCCACACTCCAGGCTCATGGCTCTGGGCTCCCCTCTGTAAGCTGAGCCCTGATCCCACCCAGCTCAGTCCTGGATCCTGTCTCTTCTCACACTCCAGGATCATAGCTCTGGGCCCCCCTCTGTAAGCTGAGCCCTGATCCCACCCAGCTCACTCCTGGGTCCTGTCTTTTCTCACACTCCAGGCTCATGGCTCTAGGCCTCTCTTCTGTATGCTGAACCCTGATCCCACCTGGTACATCCCCTTCCTGGACCTTGGAGCACAGGCAGCTGCCTCCTGGGCCTCAGTTTAGGCACCAACTGGCACCTCTGAAGCCCACATCATGTGAAAACCCTTCCACCAAAATGGCTCCTGCTGCGTCCTCCCTGCGTCACCAAAGCCTTCTCACACCCCAACCATGCTGCCCGCCTCCCCGTTGACCCGGATCCTGGGCCTCACCTCCACCTGCAGACTGCAGCAAACTCCCTTGGCTCTGACTTGAAAACAGCAGAATCAGTGTGGGTTCTTCTCATGATCATCCGGCTTCAGACAGTTTCCTCACCTCGCAGATGGAGAAGTGGTGACGGGCTTCCAGAGACCGCCAGCAGCTCCGGCAGCCTCCCTGAGATCTGGGGTGTGGCGGAGCCTGAGCTTCCCGCAGCACCTGGCCTCCTCGCCACCTCGGATGCTAGGCAGAGGAAAGGGGCTTTCATAAGACGAGTGTCCTAAGCTGTGATGGGACACTGCCTGGGCAGGGACTCTCACAGCCACCCCCTCACCTGCCCCTGTCACCTGCTCCCTTTGCAGGCTGCTGGCTCTACAGTGCTGGGGTCTGCACACGGGCTTTCCAGGCACCAAGGTGAGAGTGATTTTTTCTGGAAGGATCTGTGCCTACTCTCCAGGCCAGGAGGGGTGGCACCAGAGAAGCATCTGGAAGATCTATAAGGAGGCTGCAGAGTTTGCAGGAAACTCTGTGACCTTTGCCCTGGCTCTCACCGCTGGTCTGTAGTAGAAGCCAGACTGAGGGCCTGCCATTTGCCCTTCCCCCTTGATGGCTCCCGGTGCACAGTGACTTGGACCTGCACAGATGGGGGCTCCACTCTCAAGTCTGGGTTGTGGCTGTAGGACACAGTGAGGCTGGCAGAGGCCAACGTCCTGGCTCATTGTACCCTCTCCATGTGGTCACCTCCGAGGGCTAATACGTGTTGACAGACGGACATGGT